GGGGGCTGGGAAGAGTATGGGGGACCGAGCCCCATGCCCCCCCGTCTGGGGCCGCTTCCTCTTTACCTCCTGCTGCTTGGGGTCTGGACCTGCTCCCCCCTCCCCACCTAAGCAGTGGAGGGAGGGGCAGAGTGGGCCTGGGCCTGATGCAGGGGAGAAACTGGCCCACCATGATGGGAAAAGCAGTGGGCCTTGGCCTACCTGGCAGTGGTGGGGGAATGGGAAGAGCAGGCTTGGAGCTGATGGGGGGGGAGGGGAGTGGGGGAGGAGTGGACCTGGGCCTGAGAGGGGGAGGAAGCCTGAGCCCGAGCTGGGGGAGAAGCTATCCTGCTGTGGTGGTGGGGGGTGGAGCAGCAGGCCTGGCCCAATGCAGCAGCGGCTGGTGGAGGGGAGGAGCAAGCCTCCTGCTCCCCTTGGGCCTGGGTCCACTCCTCCCCCAGCCTCTCTCCCCCCACATCAGCTCCGAGCCTGCTCTTCCCATTCCCCTGCCGCCGCCAGATCGGCCTGGGCCCACTGCTCCCCTTGCCCACTGCTCCCCTTGCCGTCTTCTCCCCCAGTTCGGGCTCGGTCCTCCTCCCCCTCCATGTGGGGCCCAGGCCCACTCCTCCCCTCCTCCCACCACCACCACAGCACACCCACTATTCCCCCAACCTGCGTCGGACCACTCCTCCCCCTACCACTGCTGCACTGTCCCACGTTGGGCCCTGCAGGTGGCAACGATGGAAGGGGCGGGCTGAGGCCAGAGCTGTGGCCAGCCCCCCACTGAGGCATCCCAACCCTGCTCCCTGCCCTGCGTTGCCCCCACCTCCAGGAAGCAGGGCAGCGGGGGGCAGGCCAGCTATGCTGGCCTCACCCCCACTCTGTCCCCTGTATCCCCACCATCATGGTGGTGCTCCACCAGCCACCAGGTCCTGTTGAAATGTGTGTTTGCACTCTGATTGGCTGTTTGCCAGCCAATCAGAGTGGAAATAAAGCATTACAGACAGACAGACAGACTTAGGCTTTTATAATATTAAAATTTTAAAGTAGTTTGGAGGCCTGCCAGTGCCTCAATCATTACAATAAAATACATTCTACATCCCTATATATTTTGGCATTTGATTTTGGGGTTTTTTTATCATGGAAAATCAGAGCTCCCCCTGCCTCCTTTGCTCACCCGGATGAGGGTTCAGTGGTGGCTGTCCCCCTCACTGCTGCTTTGTGGTGCTGAGCAGCCCTCACATGCTGGTGCCTTGCCCCTGCCCATGCTGTTGCCCCTCACTCCCAAGTCATAGCCCCTCTAACCCTTCCAGTGCCCCTCACTCCTGACTCACAGTCCCCCACCCCAACCATTCTGGTGCCCCTCACTCTGACCCACAGCTCCCTGCCCCCCCCACCCTGTCAGTGCCCCTCCCTCCCAACCTGAAGGCCCTTGCCTCCCTGCCAGTGCCCCTCACTCCTGACCCACAGCCCCCTGGCCCTGCTGCTGCCCCTCACTCCCAACACCCAGCTCTTCACCTCCCCGTCCTTGCCAGTTCCCCTCACTCTCAACCTGCAGCCCTCCATCCCCATCAATGCCCCTCACTTCTGACCCACAGCTCCCTGGCTCTGCTGGTGCCCCTCATTCCTAACCTACTGCCCTCCCACACCCCCAGCCCTGCAGTCGCCCATCCCTGCTGGTGTCCCTCACTCCCAACCTACAGTCCCCTGCCTACCCTGGCTCTGCTGATTCCCCTCCCATGCAACCTGCAGCCCCCTCCCCCAACCAGTGCCCCTCACTCCTGACCCTCAGCCCTCTGGCCTTGCTGGTGCCCCTCACTCCTAACCCACAGCTCTTCACCTCCCAGCCCTGCTGGTTCCCCTCACTTCCAACTTGCAGCTCCCTGCCCCCACCAGTTCCCTTCACTCCCAACCTGCAGCTCTCCATCTCCATCAGTGCCCTCACTCCCAACCCACAGCTCCCTGGCCCTGCCCCTCACTCCTAACCTACAGCCCCCCCCCCTCACCCTCAGTCCTGCAGCTGCCCATCCCTGCTGGTGTCCCCCACTCCCAAACTACTGTCCCCTACCTGCCCTGGCTCTGGTGGTGCCCCTCACTCCTGACCTGGAATCCCCTGCACCCCCATCACCAGCTGCCCTCAGCCCCCTCAGTGTGTGTGGCATGGGGGTATGTGGGGCAGGAGGTGTATGGGCACAAGCGATGCCGTTGGCAATGTGTTGGGGAGGTATGGGGGGTACACGCCTTCCCAGATTTCTGTGCCAACAGCAGAGTGCGGGCCACAGGGCTGCAGTCTGGCTGGACTGGCACTGGGCAGGAGCCACCTCTGTGGCCCAGTTGGTGAGATGCTGTGGGAAGGCGGAGAGAGGGGTAGAGACTTGGTACTGCTGCTGCTGGGAGCCCCATGCCAGTCATGCTGCCATGGCTGCCAAGATTTGGCACCCCCAGCAGCAGGGGTGGGGTTTGGTTTGCATGGGCAGTGATAGAGTGAGCCCAGCCCCAGCATGGTATAGAGGAAGGTGGAGGGGATACCTGTGGCACTACCCTGCCCTGGGCTCCCACACAGCTCCAGGCACCCCAGCCACACCCCCCTGGGCAGTGTCCTCTGGCCACCCCACCCCTGCCCCTGCCCCTGAGAGCACAGGCATTGGCCCCTGGTGCCACCAGCCTGGCCATGCAACTCCCCACTACCCCTGAAGGAGCCCCCTTTCCCTTCCCCTGCTGGAGGGGCAGGTGCCTCTGGGTGGGCCCTGCTGGCAACAACATGGAGCTGGGCTTGGCAGTGGCACCAAGTGCTGCCTCAGACCCTCCTGCCCCACCTCAGCCCCAGCACCCAGACAACTTCACCCAGTGTCAGTAGGCACCCACAGTGTGTCACGGGAACATACACATGTCTTCTCTCCCCCACACATGCCCCACATCCCCTCCCTACACATATCCCCTCCAAACACCCCTGCCACATGTCGTGGTAAACACACGCAGCAAACTTTAGGTCAGGTCAGCAGAAGCTTGGTTTATTAGAGAATGCATTCTGGACAGACTCATACACAACTGGAGAATTGTGAAGAGGTCTGACCTCGTACAACAGGTGAGGCGAGTTCATATAGAAAATATGACATCATAAGCATAGCTACGATATAACTAATCAGCATTTGCCACAACTTTGTTAGTAAAGCGCATGTCTTTTTATTTTATGATTATGTTAGCAAAAATGTTACTATCTCTCGTCTAACTAGCAACCTTAGGGTTCACTTCCCATTTTGGGCTGACTCAGCAGGCCGGTTTGAGGTTACTTTTGTGCTAAGCTTTTGTTTTTTACTAGACTAGGGCAGGATGGTCTTAGTCTGTGTTAGTTTAGCAGTTTTGGGTCATGTCCTTTTTTGACTTCCCCATAGCCTAAGCTGAATACAGATTCAACTCCATTTTTCTCTTCTTCCACACACACATGTCTCACAACCCCACCACCCCCCAAGCCTCCTGGACAGTCCCCAAGCCCTGGCCCTCTAATCCCATAGGTTTACCTGTATCCGGCTGCCAGGGTTGCTTCTATCACCCTTCCTGTCTGTATTGCCAGCCATGTGTGTGCGTACCTGCACGTGGTGGCCCCTGCCTCCTCCTGTTCCCCCTGGCCCCAAGCAGCTCCTTGCAGTCTGGAACTCTGCCAGCCTCCAAGGGGAAACTCATTGTTTCCTGATTCAAAGGGGGAAAATCCAGGTTTTTCTCCTTTAAAGAGCAACATCTGCGTTTTTCTCCTTTAAAGGGGAAAATCCAGGTTTTTTTTTTAAAGGGAAACGGAAAACCCAGATCCCCGGTGATGAGTTACTCATCAGAACACAGTCTACCTCAGCTGGCAGACACAACAGAAAAAATGCCCGCTCTTTTGGAGCCTGCCAGAAGGGGTTCTTCAGGTGGCTGAAGGGACATCATCCAGAGAATGGGTTGCTGCAAGGAGAAATGGATGGGTTGATTCCAAATTGATTTAATTCGCAATGTGAAATGTCCCAACAGAAAGACACAGTGCATGCAGTTAAGTCTGTGTAAATTTTAACTTTTCTTTAAGTCCAGGATATTTCATACAGGGTGTCACCTTTTAAAATGTCAAGAAGGTGAAGAGCAGAGAGGAGATGGATGATGTTACTCTGGAAGGTATTAATGGCTGCCATCAAGCAGGTCTTTTAGCCTAAACGTGGAGAAATTGAATGGCTTTTTAAGTAAAAACACCTGGAAATAACAGGAAGCTATCATCCCAGAACTGGGCTTAATGGTGAAGCCTGGGCAATGTCTGTTGGATTTCTTAGGGACTAGCTGCATACAGGGGGCCAAGGCTAGGGGACTGTTGGACAAACTGTGTGAGGGAGAGATCATGGATTATAATCTGCAAACAGCAAGACAAATAGTTCTGATCATGGCCTGGAGAAGAAGCAGACAGAAAGGGCTCCTTGGACACACGACTCACAGGAGAGGCAAACTTGGAAATCAAGAACAAACGAATAGCCTGAGCTATTATGTTCAGGAAAACAAGACACTGTGTGCAGTCTTTATAAATAAATGGGACTGCACCAAAAAATGTACCTGACTGATACCCTCTATTTCTCCATCTAACAGAAACAATTTTGCAAGACCTCAAATACTAGGTCCCTCATGGGGTTTAATGTCAACAGAGGGGCTCCCATTTCCTCATATAATGTGCAGGTTAACCAAAGGCAAGCTTTCCATTTTAACAAAAAGACATGAGGCTCCCTAAACATGAAATGATAAAGTCATCAAAAAAATTTAACTTCCTGTTTGAAATGTTGCCATTATAGTGGTTTCACTTGGGTGTATATCATGTGCTACTGAGGGAGTAATAGGAAGAAAGAGAATGTACAAGTGACTGAGCTGCTTAAACCCACCAGGTTGCCTTGTGGTGCAGTCTATTGTAGGTCTTTCAGGGGGTGGGGTCAAGGTTTCCAGCCCACCATTATCACCATGATACTCTGGATACTCACTGCTCTCAGCATCATTCAAGTCGTTGATGTGACAGGTAAACCATTTTGATCCTCTCCATGACATTTTTTATTATTTTGGGATTATAAGGGCAGCTTTAAATGCAAATACCCTAAATTATATTGCAATTGGATGCATGGGAACTGATATTTCATGCTGATAAAATGGATACAAATACAACTTTTTAAAATCACGGTGTTCTGCAAATTTGGTCTTCAGAATTTCTTTTTATTTAACCTCAGTTAGGATATGTTTTGAAATGGCATAACATAGCCTAGGGTACATTTGCCCTCTGGGATTTCTTAATTTTGAACATTGTATAGCTTTTCTTTATTTTTGGTTTCAAAACAGTTTTCATGAAAGTGATTTTCTCCTTGCATATTTTTGCAAGCTCAGGAATCCCATGTGCATCCCTAATTGTCCTGTGAGTTGACCCCAGTCAGTGGAACTGGGCTCAGCTGTACCCATTGAAAATGAACAAATATAACAAGCAAAAAACCAGTTACTTATTGAGAACAAGCTGTTTATTTCACAATCAACTGGTGCATATTAAAACTCAATCTCCCTACGAAAACAAAAATGATTATTTGCCTATTAGAAACCCTGAAGTGTTACTGAAGCTTTTTAGAATTTCAGTTGTTCTGACTGAGCTTACTCTATCTTATTATCACCTCTACAATGCAGCTTTAGTAACTTCATAACTGCCAGATCTTTTCAAGGGGTATATCAAATGCCAAGCAATGCAAAAGATGATATTTTTTGCTAGGATAATTTCAACTCGAAGTATTTCATGTTGTCAGGTCTACTCTATGTGTCAGCATTTTGTACATTTACAGGAAAAGAGAAACACAAATCTATTCTCCTGCACTGAATTTGTTCAAGATCTGTAATTCTTAAGAATTCATCTCCTTTTTTTTCTCCTTATTCCTCTCCTGTTGTTATAAACTCCTTCTTTGAAACATCATAATTATTTCCCCAGCAGGCAGCTGTGCTAGCAGAGATGACAGTGACTACAGGAAGGGGACAGCAGCATGAGGTGTTGAACAGTTAAAAAAATATCCATGAGGTGTCAGCAGCTTTTAAGCAAATCTTTTGAATTGTGGCATGCTGTATATAATGTAATATACTATGTTATATTATATAGTATAATAATACACAAGCACACTGCCTGTGGCCATGATTAAGTGTTTCACTTGTCATAATAGCTTCTTTGGGACTACACAAATGCTTAGAGAAGCATATATGTTTGAGGCTTATTCAGGTTCTGATTTTTTGCTTGTTTCATCTGCACTTTAGCTCCTAAGATGATAGAGGCTTAATAAGTGCACAATATTAAAGTTGATTCTAAAATGAGAGAGGCTTAATAAGAGGGCAGTATTAAGGGTGATCCAAGTTTTGCAGTCAAACATCTATTAAAATCAATGAGAATGCTGTCTGCTTAAAAACTACAGAATCTGTCCTGTTTTCTTACTGAAAAAAACCTACCTCATAGGATGCTTTGCCTAAAATCATAGAAATGTAAGATTGGGGTTGGCATCTCAAGAGATCCTTTACTATATACCCCTCCTCTGAGGCAGGATCAAGTGTACTTAGACCATTTCCTGTGTATTTGTCAAATACTGGACTTGAACCATAGTTTTTGTATTAGTACCATTGTTTTAAAACATTTTTCTTATTAGTCTTTCCAGCTGGAGAATTATTTTATTAGACTAACAAAGACGCAAGTGGTTATATTTGTCTGCGCAGAATATATATTTTTAAATACACTATGGATTCCCACTACCATATGTTGCACATGGTCTTACTATAGGAATGTACTATAGGAAAATTGCTGGCTTACAGTTTTTCTGGGTTAAAAAGTGCCCTCTAACTGGTATGTTGAATGATCTCTGGTGTTTATACAAGGTAAACTAAATTACCCAAGATTAGGATGACACTAATACGTTTCCTCTTCTCTGAACAGATCGAACTCCTAGGCTCAGCAAACTGAAAAACTGGGTTTAATGAAAGCAGTAGCATATCTCCTTGCATTGACTACCTTTCTTCATACAGTACTTTAAATAAGGGAAGGGAGATTAGCAAGGACGGATATCTGTAGTGACCAAAGGGCCCCACATCATAGAGCAGCTGGATGAGTTAGCCATCCAAGTACCTTGAAAACTCTGAATGTAGCTGAGTATCACAGATCAGTGACCAGAGGATAGATTTACCTTGTTTTCTTATTACTATCTTCTTTAGTTACCTTCAGTTCTTCCCCTTCCCAAGGAGTTCAAAGGGATCTTTTTCCTATTCTGTTTTTAAAGAATAACAGTTTAACCAATCAAAATCTCATCCCATATTCTTACTACTGGCAAAAGAATTACAGAAGCCAATGCCCCTCTAGAACAGGAGAATAATACTCTTTTCATCTCTATTTTACCAATCAAAAATAGAACATTTTAAAACCCCTGCTGATGAGTCATGGAAAGCTCTGGAAAATAATATTTTTCCATACATTGTTTTCGCTATTTCTGTTTCTTGGCAACACATGACTTCTATGGAGCTTCACTTGCAGCAAGCATTTAAGATCAGAATGTCAGTGTTTTACTGACATTATGTCTGCTAAATATATTCTCATAATGAGAAGTTCTACCCCCTCTCGTGATATAGGTTAAACATGAAGATACATGGTCAACAAAGCTCTAAGAGAACTTACATAGACTATGTTCATTAATCACTTAGAAAATCTAAGGTCCTGCAGACACTTACATAGGCACTCAGTTTTGCTATAGCGAATGTCCTGCGGATTTTAATTATTCTGCTCCAGGCGTTACCAATTTCTGAAATTGTAGACAGCGATTTTTCATAACCGTTGCTTTCTGAGTTGGTTAAGGCCACATACATTTAGGACCCTATACAGTTATTTATGATTATATAGCACAATTGAAAGCAACCTTTGAAAACAGCAATTATAACCTTATTTATGGGGAAAATACACAAAAATGAAAATGCCTACTAAATGGTTCAGTGTTCCATCATTTTTTACAAAAAATTCTTAAAGACAAGATAAGCCTGAACTTTACTGGTGCAACATTTGATCCCTCCAAGTCTTTTAGAGTGCTAGTTTGAAATCCTATTGGTTTAGCTCCTGTTGAGGAGTTATTCAAGTCCTATTCAGGTCACAAATAAAATAAGAAATTGATGGCCTAATCTTATTTTCTTGTGGAAGTAATACACATTTTGGCATGGCTGCCTTTCCCCAATACATTGAAACACAAGACTAGGATAGCAGGACTATAGCAGATCAAGATTCTGGAACCTGGATAGATCTGTGAGTTAAGTGGGGCACTCGCTTGCATTATGGCTCATCTAATGCACTTTGCTTTCATGAGCAAAAATTTGTTTTACAATATGGAAAGACACATCAATCTATTTTTATGGAGATATGTACTTTGATATGTGATCTGTGATTTGATACAGCAGAGCCACCTTTTATAGCAGACCCTGTAAACATGGCTGAACAAGTCACTTGTGAACAGTCCGCATCTACTGACCTATGAAATAACTTTTGTTCACCCTATGGTTTCTATATTTCATGTCCCTGAATAAAAAACTACAGAACATGCTCACAACATCTGTTTTGCATTGCAGGGCTAAGAGATTTGGCTGTAGGTCCAAGAGGTGGGAAATGATTTTAAGAAATATACCTTAGGAAGGAGCATCAATAGATTCTAAACTCATGCTGTTACAAACACTTTGCTGTGGGTGCAAAAATGCTCTGACACTGCAATTAGGTTAAAAAGTTCAAGGTACTTGGCAATACATACTACGCATCAGAATGAGTCTAGGCTATAGCAGCGAAGTACTGTGGAAAGTTATTAAGGTCATTCAGCCAGTTTAAATGGTACCTTCTGTGGCTTCTCTAATGAGACATTAGATTGGTTTTCTTTGCCACAGTAATTACCTAAAAAGGTCTGCCCTGCAGCATCCCCTTTCTTTTCATACATATTTGTGAGAGAAGCAGTTTTCTAGTTTGCTGATGCTTTGGTAAGATTCAGCTAAAGGATAGGATACCATTTCATACTGTAAGCTTACTGGGCTGCAAAATATCTCTTTATTATGGGGATATAAGCCCCATGACCATGAAGCCCCAATTCCAGGTGCTACTGCAGTACAAATAAGAATACAGATATTTTGCTGAAAGTCTTTTTTCTCTAGTTATCCAAAAAGGAGGAAAGAGTTCATCGCCATAGGATTCCTAAAACCAAGATGTGGCAAATACAGAATTATTTTGTTGGGGGGTTGGAGAGAGAAAAGCAGGGTATTTTGCACACCAACCCTGATCATGGCTGATATTTTCCAGCTAGCAAAAATATAACCAGCCACTACATTTTTAAAAGTGCTAAATCCTAACTAAACTAAGTGCAAACTCATTTTTAAACTACACTTGATTAAAATTAGCTTTGCCAGAAAAGGCTGATTTAATGAAACTGAAATATTTCGCTGAAATATGCAAATTTCAATGAAAATTTTTTGAACTGCAGGGAGGGTCCTGACAGACCTCTCTCATTAACAAGAGTTGGACTTCAGGATCTGTGTTTGGGGGATGCCCTTTCTGTGGGAGATTTTGAAAATAGGCATTTTGATTCCAAACCAGAAAAAGAATTTCAAAATTCTGAAGTTTCCGATGTAATGAAAATTTTGAGTTTTGCCAGCTTTGATGCTAGATATGGTGGAGCAAGAGGCCAGAACCTTCTGTTCCTGTGCTGGTGAGGAGGGCTCTGCAGAGCTAGTAGGTCAGCTCTCTCTGTCCCATACTTTCCCCTTCCACAAACAGCACAAAGACCTAAGTGCTGGCAGTCCATTTTCAGAATGGGAGAGTGGTCAGCTTTGGCAGTGGTGAGGTGGCTAGCAATCTATGTTGGCGGCTATGAGGAGGTACTCATCTTATGTATGTTCAAGGTACCAATGGGAGGGTTGCTTCTATTATTCACTCCCTGTATCTGGTGTTGACAGACATACCCACTCCCATCCTGGACAATTCCTCTCCTCTCAAGGTGCTCCATGTTTCTTCTAACTTCCATTTTTCTCCCCATCTCCAGCTATTCCCTTTTTCTTTCTCAACTGATATTTTCCAATGGCTGGTAGGGCAGTACGTGCAATGTAGAAAGCTATTGGTTCCCCTTCTGCACCTCTAGAAATTCATTGTGATGAAGGAAGCTTCACTCACTCTCCTGCCATTCAACTGGGAAGCTGAGGAATGGGAACTGAACAAGGTCTTCCAGATGGTCACAGGCTTAGATCTGACTAGAACTTTTGGGGACTTTAAACTTGTGGAAGTCTACCTGTTCTGACAACACTTTGCTGAGAAGGCTTCTTATGTCCAGTATAACATTTCAAGGGTGGAGGCTTGGCATTTCATAGGCAGAGAGAACCTACATTAAGCAAATGGTCTGGCCACTCACCTTATATATTGAAGACCCAGGTCCAAGTCCTTCCTCTACCCAAGTTAGAGTAGGAATTAAGTGTACAGGTGACTCTGTAGTTCATCAGCTCTGAGGCACTGTTGTAAGATGTGGGAGATGCAAATTAAAGACCATGATCTAAATAAAGCAGGCTGAGGGAGAACTTCATCTGTCATCTTAGGGCAGTGCCCTAGCCCCTAGCATGTGTGAATGTGCTCACTCTCACTTTCCTTTCTTGTGCAAAACAATTTCCAAAAGTCTCAGTTTTGTCTTTATCTGGACAAATCACAATCACATTTGAAATACAGAAAGCTTGACATTTATGTATGACAAAATGAAATCCTCATTTTCTGGGAGCTTTTACATACTCCATTACTCTCTTACTGCTCTTAAATTCTTAGATCCCAAAGATAGTGGGGAAGGAATATAGACTTTACAGTAGAGGGTGTAACCAGAGGCAGGAAAAGGTATCCTCATTATCCTTCCCCAGGACTGTGCTGATAGTTCTGCCAGAGCCTGCCAAGGACCTTTTAAACATTTTGTCCAAGTGAATATGACCTTCCCTTACCACTCCCCAGTTAGAAGTGACCCTTACATGAGATTTGTGTGGTCATATACCTGCTAAAACAGATTATGGCAAGTCTTGCACCTGGTAAGTTACTCCTTCCCTAAAATGGTTTAGGAGCTAAATCTTCTTTTTGCTTCTTTCCAGAAAAGCAAAGCAAGGTATCAAGTGGGAAAAACCACTTCCCTTGTAGAAGGACTGCTTCATGCACAGTTCTTTCAGTGTTTTGACTCTTCACACAACGTAGTACAGAGACTGAGATGACAGTAAACATTTCCTGTTTATGCAGGAAATGTTTAGGCCAGTCAGATCAAAGGGGATAAGGCCTTGATATAAAATATATTTGTAGACCATTACTGTGACAACTGCTAATATGCCACCAACCTTGTGTCATTATCTGCTCCACATAAAAGGCTAAGATTTTCCTGTAGGTGCTAGTGAGAGGAACGTATTTAGGGTTAGCAATACCAGGTTCAATCCCATGGGATGGCATAAGTGAAGTGTGTTCCACCAGTAAGCAATTTGCCTTTACAAAGGCTGTTTTTTGTATTGCAAGGTCTATAATTTGAATGTTTTTAAATTTATAAGGTGGATAGAAAATGCATGGTATATACATATTCCAGGTTGGAACTTTCCTTCATCCAACCATATGAGAAAAAACTGGTGCATCATAACCAGAATGGAAGCTAGGACCTCATGTGTTAAATGGTAAGAAAAGCACTACTGTCCTTGCTCATCCTCTCTCTCTCTCTTGCTCTAGTCCAATGCATATTTAACTATTCCTACAAAGTGGAAAAGCTGTAGCAAGAAGATGTCAAGCGAGGCTGACTGTAGACTAGTGGTCAGGGTATTCATTGGTAGAATCATAATCTCAGTTAGTGCAGGAGCATAGATCAGATGCTCTAACTGTTGTGTGATTTTGAAGTCATATACTATATTTTATAAATAAATGTTTTCCATTATCCCACCCAGAAAACAAGATTTTAGTGACACAGCGTCCTGTGCTCAGAGTAGATAACAAAACCGCTACCTTGGTCTGCAACTATACTTATAATGGAACTGGGAAGGAATTCAGAGCTTCGTTACATAAAGGAACAGACAGTGCAGTTGAAGTCTGCTTTGTTTCATGGAATACAACCAAAGGTAACAATACCCAGTCAAGTAACGGTTTCACCTGCCATGGTTATCAGGATGATCAAAAGAAGCATGTAATCTTCAACCTTTCAAACATGAATCCCAACCACACTGATATTTACTTCTGCAAAATTGAGGTCATGTATCCACCTCCTTATGTCTGCAGTGACAAGAGCAATGGAACTATCATCCATGTGAGAGGTAAGCCATGAAACCATAATTGTCCAATATTCTTTTCCTTCAGTGTACACTCTAATGCTAGAGCTCACAGTAATGTCAGGTACAAAATGGATGTCTCAGAGAAGACAACATTCTTCTACCCCAGATCATATACTGATAATCTAGCTGCTTTTTCTTCTATGTTTTTATCTGTTGGTCAGAATAGATGGAAGATGGCTGAGACATGAGTAAATAAATTGAGATTAGGTATTGATTTTATGTACTTGAAGTTTTCTTTATTCTCTTTCTTTAAGACGTGCCCTTCCAACAATCAGAGCTTCTTCAGTCTACAAGATACTTTTGGCTTATGGCAGCAGCAATTGGAGTTTTTGCTATCTACAGTATAATAATAACTGTAGCCTGTATTCACTGTTCGGTAAGAGATTATTGTTTTCCCTTGCTTTATGTGCCTACATAGCAGCCTTTTCATGCTGTCTTTGCCATGCTCCTACACAGTCATCTTCCTTTATTCATTAGCAACTCCAATTTAGGGACAATGATTTAATGTTTTTTGCCTGGTCAGAAACCAGAACTGCAGGATGCAGGAGAAAGGTGAAGGGGATGCTATCATGGAGGCAGCAGGTGCCCTCTTCTGTGAGACATTCTAGGAAGTGTGATCTTCCATATTGTGTACTGTGTAGCTGTATAAGATCATTTTTTCTGCTTCCAATCTGCCTTTTCCTTGTATCACTGTGTTTAAATATTTATTTTCAACTAATTACAAAGCAACCTGGCTGCAGTTCTCCCTTTTCAGATTAAATCCTACTTGTGTACTGGGACTCACTTCCATTGCTTATCAAAGTCACAGTTGAACTAGTTGTGCCATAAAGTAGAGGTGTTTGTTGCAAGGAGGCTTCCTAATGATGTGCAAACTGGATCAGATATGGCCATAAGAAAATATAGTTAGGTTATAGTACCACTTTGCTCTGAATATGTCAGAGGAAAACTGAAACAGGTACAGCCAGTGGCAGCTGTGCCTTGATGCAATACTGTTATTTCAGATCCATAATTTAGAGTTTGAATAATTTTCTATGTGCTGTTTGCTTTTGGTATTGTGGCTCATGTACTGGTTATCACTAAGAGAACACCTTTTCCAAAGGAGAATGACCATGCTAAACTCTGCTTCTCTGCTACATTTGCCTCATAATAAGTTTTTACCTGGGGCTTCTGTAGCTGTTGGTATCCTCTAGCTCAGTGGTTTTCAACCTGTACCCTGCAGACCCCTGAGGGTCTGCACAGTATATCTAAAGGGTCTGTGAAAGATGACAATGATCAATCAAAAATATGCGAATACCTACACCTATAATTCAAAGGGGTATGCACCTCCATTTGAAATTTCCAAAGGCATCTGCACCTCCATTCGAAATGTTTTAGGGCCCGCAAATGAAAAAAGGTTGAAAACTATTGCTGCTCTACATCACTGGTTCTCAAGGCACTCCTCCAAAAATGCTAGCTCTTAGTTTTCACTCATTTTTAACTACAGAAAAATACTAGAGCAATTCTTTTGCAAAGAACTCAGAAAGCCCATTTCAGATCAGAATATTTTTAAAACTATGGATTCCTGTTTGAAATCTCTGGGTTTATCTTGTTGGGAAATCATTGTTCTAGATCAGTGGTTGGGAACCTACAGCCTGAAGAGCCTTTGGATCCTGCCTGCAGAGCCATGGCTTCAGTAGTATTTGGCAGCAGGGGGGTCTTACTTGCACCATGCCACAGCTATGCAGTGGGGTCTTTGGCAGAGGGGCAGCTCTCCCTACACTGTGCCATAGTCAGGCAGCACAAGCTCTGGTGGAGTGGGGGCTCTCCCTTGTGCTGCAATGCAGCCAGGAGGCAGGGAGAAGCAATGCAGGCTGCCAGGTCCTAGTGCCCACCTGTCTCAGACCTATGATAGGTCATTTCAGTTCCCCACTGGAAAACATTGCCGACCCCTGCTCTAGATAACAGGTAGTCTGAGTGCTTAGATATTTGCAGTGCTCTTGAATGTTAATAAAGCTGCCTAGAAATGATGGATCTAAATGAGCTTCCTAAAATGATACTTGTCAGCCAGGCCAAGTCTACTTCATCTGAGTTTTTGAAATCGGCCATAGGTTTATTCTGCTTTTGTACTAATTCTACCTCTGTGGAGAAAAACTACCTTGCTTCCTAAATGAACAGGGTTTTTTTTCTGTTATAGTCACACATTTTTTCATACCTGCAAAATCTGTTTCAGCCATGTAAAAATTTCTAGACAATTTAAAATTTATAGGTACAGGAACATAGGACTGGATGAGACCTCCTAAGCCATTGAGTCTTCATGTGTAAAAATCAGGGAATACAGTGGACCATACTGTGGTATAGCTGATATATAATATAATTTATCATCACAGAGTTGCATAAATATAATGTCACATTTATTATTTTAAAGTCAGGAAATATCATAGTAACTAACTTACCCATGTTGTATGTATAAAATGTAAATTTGCCCATGGTTCATCTGTGCAACTCCTCTCCAAGTCAATTAGATTAGTACATAACTAAGGCTAGAATTGCAGTCACTGTATCATCAGCTACCATTTACCAACAAAGCTTATAATGCAAAATAATTTGTGCACATACCACAATGAGGAATTTAATGTTTGAAACACCATTTTTTTCTGTTAATTTCCATGGTACCTCAATAGCTGCAAAATCAAGTAAGTGTACAACTAGGGAACTCCATCCCAAAATGGCAGCAAAAATATAACTGCTGTTTATGTATTGCTATTGTTTCAAGGTACTGATACTTACTGATCAGTTTTTTTAGTTATTAAGTATTCTAGATTTAAAAATCTCTTTTATGTATGTATATATAGGCAACTCACAGATATACAATGTTTTTGACAAATTGTTCTAGAGACTAGCCTTCAGTGAGATATAGAAAAGCTGAGAAGACTGAGTTGGATGTATGCAACTTCCCCTTTCTCACTTAAACTTCCAAAAGTAGGAAGCCCCTCCCCTGGTCATTAATTAAGAAGGGCTTGACCTGGGTTAGAATAGTCTATTAACTAGACTACTAACAAATGACTCAGGGCAGTGTTGCTCAACCTCCAGCCCTTGGGCCAAATCTGGTCCATGTGGCTATGTTATCTAGCCAGTGGGGCTCCTCATGGATCCAGAAATTTGGTGGTTGGAGAGTTATTTGCTGCAGCACCCAAAGTTGCCCCAAAACTGCATCTGGTCTGTAGGGTCACTCTGTGGTGAGGTCTGGTGCATGGGGCTGGACCTCCATGCTGGATCACATCCACAGATCAACACCAGGTGCTGACCCCATGCTGAATCAGGCCTGCGGATCAACCCCACCTTCAGGTTGGCCCTGCACCACTTATTCAGCCTGTGGGGCAGGAAGGCTGAGCACCATTAATTCAAGAGATCACAGATTTCCCCTGTGACTTTAGACAAATCACTTAATTTTCTCTGTGCTTCTGTTCTGCATCTCTAAAATGGGCATAATACTTCCCGGCCTCACAATAGCGTGATGAGGCAAAAGTCTATTAATAATGTGGATAGTTTTGGGGCCAAATAGATAGATAACTAAAATACAGTTCAACTCTACTTCCTTTTCCCCTTGAGCAGGTGCTCAAACAGTTTATGAATTGCCTTTTCAGGACAGAGATATGGGGGCAGGACTACACAGTTACATATAGGCCGGGGCGTTTTCTGGTACTCCTATTTTGCTTACGTTAACTTGTTCAAAAATTTCTAGTAATAAACCAGGGAAACCCCATGCTGATTGCACTTGTTTTTGCTTTTGCTGAGTCATCTATCAGCTAAGAATGTGATTGTCAAAGAAGCTAAAATGTAATCATAGTTTAAGGTAATGCTGAAGTTACGTTCTAGCAGTAACAGTCCAGGAAATATGCACTAAGACCTGAAAAGTGTACTGTGGTATCCAAAAGCTTGTCCAAGTCTATCCCAACCATGTAGTAGGTCCAATAATCACCCATAAAAATCCTTGCATTTTAGTTTAGGGCATTTACTACCTCAAACTAATATTAGAATTCTTTCAGCAGATAAGATGAAAGACTTGCACTAAATCTGGGTAAATACTACAGGTCATTGTATATGAATGTTCATTTTGATTTCTAAACCAACTGATTTAATTTTAAGCACATGCTAAAATGCTTTCTTGAATACATATGTTTTCCGAATTCAGGGCCTGAAGAAATAATTTTGAGTGGGGAATATGTTTGATATCACAGCCAACTGTTAACTGAAAAAGAGGAAAAACTAAATTCATTATGAATGATTTGCTTCATACTAGAGAACACCGAGCTTCTTGCACGCCACTTTTGTTGGCTTGTTTTGTTTTGATTATGCATCCCATACAGGAAAAACTAACTGCAGAATTATTTTCACACTTCCCCCACCCTTGCAGCTGAAAAACAAGAAGAACCGAATCCTCCAGAGTGACTACATGAATATGACTCCCCGACATCCTCAAGGTCCAAAGAACAAGTGTTACCAGCCCTATGCACCAACTCGAGATTACACTGCATACCGTTCTTGGCAGCCATGACTATCCACTTACCAAACTATACCCCTGGATGTGCTTGTATTCCACCAGGTGCCCTTGGACATGGAAGGACAGCTTGCCATTATCTCATTGTGTTTGCTATTACTGATCACAGATACCTACGTCATAGCAAATACTGGCTAACCTTTAATTGGTGTTCCATAAAAACTGACTATTTTCTACAATGGTAGAACTGATGAGCTACAACTCATATTCAAGCCTGATGGTGGCTCAGGGGGAAAGGTAACATTGGACCCAGTAGGTGGTGTATTTTTAATCTTTGCAATTTTTGCTCAATTGCTCAGGAAGCCAGAATTGTTGATCTTTCCTAATTACTTATGCCTTACATTTCTCTTTTAACACTTATAACTTGAAGAATTAGAATGATCTGAAATGCAACCCTAGTTGGTTGCTGTGAAATAAGGCACCAATCAAACTACTGATGCAAACTGGTTCCCTGTCCCTTCAAACAGTGAAAGCTCATTTTAAAGTTCAGAACATATGCATAAGAGAACAGGAGAGGCAGATCAGTTTATGGCACAGATCAGCTGTAATGACAGATCAAAACCACTGTACATTAAGTGGGTGATTCCTTTTGCTTTTTAAGTTCTTGAGCTGGTAACTGTAATGTCCGCAGCAGGTAGATTTGACTAGGGAGAGGACACCTGAGGACACAATTCCATGCAGTAAGAAAGCAATTGACCTGAAAGGCAGATCTAGAAAATCCAGGGAGGAAAAAAGATCTGCTGCCATCATGAAAAGACCCTTTTGAATTATGATGGCTTACAACAAAGAAATGCAAGGACCTGAGTAAAATCTTAGGGAAAACTGGTGAGAAAAATATTCATTAGAAAACACTGAGGCCAGATTTTGAAAAAAAGGCTCTGTAACTAATGTGAATCAAATTTACTGAGATCTCTTGCAAATCTATCTACTTCTGGAGCCCAAATAGGAAATGAGCTTTTTAAAAAATCTGAGCCCTATAATGAACAATAGTATCATTTGAAAATCTTCCCTTATGGTCTCCCAATTCTCACTGTGGTCTACAGGAACCTTGAAGGAATATGTTCCAAGTGGGGGATTATGTTCTTATGTAGACAATTTCTTAGGCACACTCATGCAGGAATAAAACAAGCACTGGAATAAACCCTGTTTTGTGATTCCTGTGTGACAGGTTTCCATGAGCAATGCTCACAAAACTCTAATAGGGTTAGTTCAGCAAAAAGTCCTTGTATTCTTGGAAAGAGAGATTCTTCTATCTGAAGTTGAGCAAAAAATAAGAATTTCCAACCTGTGGGAAATTCTGATAGTTCAAGTTTGTTTTCATCCTATACCAGGACAAAAAGTTGAAATAATGAATTTCTTTGCAGAACAAAAATGGAAAAAAAAATAGAATAGGGAATAGTGAAACAATTTGCTTTGACAACTTTAAAATGAAACAAAGTACCATGACACATCTCCAAATAGAAAAATTCATTTGAGGTGGTTGAACTGACCCAAAACACTGCATATAAAACCTTGCTGCCATGCATTGCTTTATGAGAGTTATAGATCAGCAGTCTGATGCCATCTTTCTCCCTGGGGAGACTGCATCTCCTATGATGCATATGCCATCTTAGTATTTGTGCAGTCATATGCATCACACTCCTTGGTCAGAAGGGAGACTATACTGCCTTACAGGAGATGTGGTCAGGTTAGGGAGAGCAGCCTACTAAGAAAAATGGGGGATTGAACTATAATTTTCATGAGGCAACACAGGACAATAGGCAGTGCAATAGCAAGGTGTGGGGGGCGAGCAGGGCGACTGCTCTGGGCACTGAAGTGAAGGGGTGCCAACAGGCACTGCCCAACTGGGGAAGGGCACGGGACAGAGCTGCAAGTGGCTTGTTTGGGGAGGTGCAGGGATGCGGGGAGGATGGCTCCCGCTGTTGCATGCACTCCTGGGCAAGCATGGTGGGGTGTGCACAGTGTGAGGGTGGGCTGCCACTGCAGGCTTTGCCCCGGGCACCAAACTTCCTTGCCACGGTACTGACAATAGGGAAATGCTCAATACTGAACTGACCCTTAAGGCTAGGGACAGACATTACATTACATATAAACCGGTTTAAGTGATCAGAAACTGGTTTAAACCTGTAACAGAACAGACATTCAGTGCAAGTAAACCAGTTTGAAAATGGCTGAAATTGGTTTGAGATAAACCTAGTTGAATGTAGTATCAGACTTAACTGATTTGGGTCAAACCAGTTTATGCAATGTCTGTACCAGACCCTTTGCTGGTTTAAGCTAAACCAGATTCCCCAGCATCCTGGCATACTCTCTGGGCTGGGTGGGGCTCTCTCCTCCACAGCAGAGCTGGCCCCTCCCTTCTGCCCCATGGCTGGAG